TGTATATATATATATAACTCTCAGATTCTAATTAAGGATTATCTTAGGCTCCCTTGAGAATAGAGATAAACCTGACCTTCCTTATATTCCCAAGGGCTGTGTAATTCTCCCCAAGTCCACATCCAGACCCACTTGGAGCCTACGTCTTTCTGGTTAGATTCTGAACCCTCCAGTTGGGGGTGCAGTCATGTCAAGACAACCAGAGAACCTCACTTTCTTGCCTGTTTCTACTCTCCGGGCTTCTACTGCAAATTCTCCTCTAGCCTCTGCCCGTCCACTGTCTGGGTGACCTGGGCTCAGTCCCTCCCTGTGTAAATCGAGTGAGGAGTGAAAGGGCCCCAAGATCTCTCTGGTTCTATCTCTGTGGTTTCTGCTGGCCTTTTTTCTGGCATTGTAATGACACCTTGTCGAAGATGTAGGCTTATCTGATGACTCTTTCTCCGAGACACGCGGTGAGTTCACATGAATGTCTCACTCTCTCGGCACGTGTACGACGTAAACTACCACCGCAGTTTCTCTAACGTCAGAGTCACCTTCAGTCACAGTGTTTCTAAGAAATAATTTAATTCTCTAAATAAAAATAAGAGAAATTTATCTATGAAGATTCCTTCTTTATATCATTCAAAACTATGACATAACAATTCATTACTTATTAAAATCTCGATGGGAGGTGCTGATTTTTTGTATTTTCCGTATTGTTATGTGTTGCTGTGTGCTTTTAATTTTTTTTTTTCTGTTTGTAAAGTTTTGAGCAATAAATGTGTTTTATGCCTGAGTTATAAAAACCCGGATGGAATGGTTTTTCTTTTTCACACCTCGGCATGGCTGAATGAACTTGGACTCGGGGATGAATGTCAGCAAGGGAATTGCATTGAACTTGAGCGCACTGCAAGTTCTCATACCGGAGAGTCAGTTCTTTAACTTCTTTTGAGGGGATAGAAAACGGGTAGGGCTAACTGACAACTGCAGGTGTGCAGGGTGACGCAGGAACAGGGGACAGCAATAGGAAGCAAGTCAGGAAGCTGCCATGGTCGCACGTGGTTCGAGCGAGAGTCAAACCTCAGAATCTGAAATCTTCACACAC